CAAACATACCGTACCTAGAAAATTGGAGGTATGTATGTATGTCTGGGCTCGTAGTGGACCAGGAAAAACATTTGGTCTCGCTACTCAAGGCGGTAGCAGCAAAGAAGGGCGTCAACATTGTGGTGCGACAAGCACCAGCACGTCACCACAAGCAAAAGGCAGCGTTAAACGCTTTCACTGAACACTCATGGGTCAAGTCAGAATACTGGAGGCCCACATACAACAAAGCTATGGCTTACCAAACATTTCCAGTCAACATTCCATCGTGCCATGGCTGGTAAGACACACAGCCTACCTACTCAACAGATTTGCTATCCACTCAGATGGCAACACCAGCTACTACAGGCGATGGAACGAAGAGCACAAAACACCACTGTGCGAGTTTGGAGGAACAATTCTCTACAAGCTACCTACAACACGACAACTCCCAAAGCTCGACAACAGGTTCACGCCACGCATCTGGCTTGGCAAAGACACAGCAACCAATGAGGCATCATTGGTATCTCCAACAAGATCATCAGATCACGAACAAACAGGAGACAAGCCTTACCAGACAAGTACAACAAGCAGCTTTCGGATGTGATCAACAGATCAACACTCGACAGGTTTGCAACGGCTGGACCAGCAATCCTACAGCCTTCAACAACATGACAGCAGACAGAAGTGACGTGGCAAAGGAGACAACATCCACACAAACATCAGAGCAGCAGGGCGCAGAGAAGGCAATACCAACAACACAACAGGCATCCACACCAGCACTGATGGATTCACCGATGGTTACCTCACCAACAAGCCATCATGCCAGAACACCGTTTTCCATCGTCACCAAACCGAACACTACCGGACGACATACTAGAAGGCAGTGCACAGAAGCAACAGCGATCAGCCACAACGGCTGGACCAACACGACCTGAAGCAGTACCGGAGCAGCCCAACAAAACCAGACTGCGAATCACCAAGGTCACAATCAAGACAAAGAAAATCAATTAAAGGAGCAGAGACAGCGAAGGCGTGACAGAACAACAGACAGAGAATATCCTTCTGGATCCAAAAGTCAGCAACACAGAAGGCCTAGACAAGCTGAAGACAATACAAGGCATGAAACACAAGGTTGAATCGATGAAAGAACACAAGTCTACATGGAAGTCAACATTGTCTCACTCACACCAGAGCAACCTCGCAGCATCATCCAATCACGTTGGGTGTTGCGAGACAAAAGCAACATTGTGAGAGCACGCATTGTGGCAAAAGGCTACACTGAGGCAGTAACAAATCTTCACGACATCTATGCATCAACAACCATCTTTTGTGTGTTGAGAGTGTTATATACTAACACTCAGCTGCAAAAACAACTGGACCGTCAGAACAGGCGACATATCCACGGCATTCCTACATGCAGCAGCAGCAACAACAGACCTCTACATGTATCCTACACGTGAGTTCTACAGTGACCACAGGATGGAGTGATTTGGAAACTCCGCAAAGCAATCTACGGACTACGCAGCAGTCCAAAAGCATGGCAAACACACCTGGCAAAAGTCCTACAACAACTTGGACTTCAACGCAGCACAACAGAGCCCAAACATATACATTATACTTGAGAGGAGGGAGACACGAAAGGTAGGACAGCGGGAAGAGAAGAGAACGCGAGAGGCAGGAACAAAAATGCAATGTTCGACATGGTGATTTATCCCCTCGGAGGCGACCTTTCGTAAATCTATGTTCATATGCACTCTAAATGTTCAAACATATGCTCTCGAAATGTTCAAAAAGGTTCTGAGGAAAACAAACTTGCCCCATGGCTCAGATCATCGGTGAGCATTGAATCGGAACATCATAGGATTTGAACTATCCTGAAACCATAAGAGGCTCACGAAGACGCTCCCCAGGAGAGAATTGACGTGCTTCACAAAACAAACTCTAGGTATGTATCCCCTCGGGGAACACCTTTCGTGATTAGAATTTCATATTCACTCTTTCTAAATGTTCAAGAGGGTTTCAACTATCCTGAAATCATGAGAGGCTCACGAAGACGTTCTCCAGGAGAGAATTGATTTTAGAGGGGGGG